AGATGCACAAGTTCTGCTAATATCTAAAAACACAACAATAGCGCTATCACACACAAGTTTTTCACGGATACGTATGCAATTAAAACTTGTCTCATCAAAATAAGACCTCGCACAACTCTCTCTGACGTCGAATTAAAAAGTTACGGCCATTTTGTTACAAGTCTCGAAATTGAGTATTTTAAATATTAACGCAGCGTTTTCTACACATACAAGTTACACCTGAAGTATTTCGCAAGATTTTTAATAGTGCCTTGTCGTAGAGACTTCATTCATTTAAAAGACGATACTCGTACTTGAATAAGCTTTTCATAAAATATGTACGTCTAAACCGTGCTAGTAGCATAAAACGTTCCTCTCACGATGTACCATTGAAGTTATTGGAAAAATAGTTTTTCATAAACGTGTCACACTTTTTTATTTTTTTATTGACTCTATTCATACTTGCAAGCATATGACAATGAGCGCCGGTGAGCCCAAATGGACATAAGCAATAGAATGTACCAGAAGGCGACGAATAACATGTTCCACCATTATAACATGGTGAGCTACTGCAAGAATCATTACCTATTTGACAGAAGATACAAACAGCTCTTTTTATAAAAGATAATCATAAGAGACAACTCACTTGTGAGCACTGTTTCACACATGCTACCATAAGTTCCATTGCGACATTTACACATTGTCTCATTATAACCATTTATATACACACACGTACCATTATTTTGACAATAATTATAATGACAAAGTGTTTCGTTTATAGCTTTGAAAAAAGCATAGCACAAGAGCAATAAAAATATGACATATAACAAGTAGTACTATTCAAATAAGATCGACTATTACACATATCGTGAGATATAGAACGAACGCCAGTATTTTATGCAAGGGGGGGGGGAAAGCGCACTCCGCAGAGTGAAGCACACTCCACTGCACTCCGAGACTTCTTACAATGGTCCGGAGTGGCGGAGTGTGTGTTTTTCTTTTAGAATAAAGTAGTGATATTTCTCTCAATGAAGATGCTCGATCGATTTAAGGGTGCCCCCCTCAGAAATGGTGATTTTCGGTCAAAAAATTGGTTTTGAGACACGCACGTAGAAAGATAGCCTGAAGTGTCTACGTCTAGAATGTGTATCGCTTTTGGTTACGGAAGTGATTTTTTGCGAGTTTTGAGCAAGTTTTCTAAGAGCCTCGAAAAACCGGGTCTTCACCTTATAGTTTTTCATGGATACTTATGCAATTAAAACTTTTCTGATCAAAATAAGACCTCGCACAACTCCGTATGACCTTGAATTAAAAAGTTACGGGCATTTTGCTACAAGTCCTGAAATTGAGTATTTTATACAGCGTTTTCTCTATATAAAAGTTATACCTGAAGTATTTCGCAAGATTTTTAATAGTGATTTGTCGTAGAGAGTTCATTCTTCTTTTGTTTAAAGAGGAAAAGAAACTACATGGACTGACTGGCGCCGATTTTTGAATTAGGTCTTAGTTTTTTGTAAAATTGAGGATTTATAGAAAACCCGGAAGGATTTTTCGGGTTTCCATATAATTTCAGAATCATTTGACAAGAACTCATATACAAACAGATAGAGAATTCTCTACGCTACAAAATGAGCTATAAATAAGCTTTCTGAAACTATGCCCATATAGGAATTGTCAAAATACTAGAGAAATATGATCATTTTCGCCCGAATTACTGGACAAAATTATACAAACGATGTGTTTTATGTATTTCTCTTTAACATAAACGGAAGAAAAAAACCTGAAAAAAGCTTTAAATAGCCGAAAGGATTTCCAAGCTGAGGTGATGTATGTGACGGTTCTATCAAAATTTCTGAAGCCAGGATCTCTGGAAAACCGAAAGGTCAGAAAACTAAATCCCGGAATGCGGTCAAGAAATTCTTTGTAAATAATTCGGTCGTGTAGAGCACACATTTCTGAACAAAACGAGACCTCGTCACACTCTGTGGGATGCTTTTTCATGAAAAAATGTCGCTCAGAGCACGACGACGTCTCCTTTTGTAGCGCGAAAACTTCTCTATCTTCCATATAAAAAGTAATTCGGTTCTGAGCAGACGCATAGAAGAAAAAATCAAATTTCTGAAATCCCTACTCTCGGCACCTTTAAATTTATTTCGAAGTAACCATCCGACAGAACATCGCTCAAAACCCTTAAGTACCGAAATTAATCAAAATCCGTTGGGCTCTTCATACCGTAAAAGTTAAAAACTTACTCATACAGTAACTTAGTCATTACAGACTTGTTGAGTAAAAAGATAGAGGAAGACAACTTTGTTAATTCAGAAGCCTCTGACTTAGCTTTAAGGTGAATAAAATTCCTTAACTTTCCTTAAGTCCACGGCACTCCACGGAGTGGCGCGATGCGCTTTTCCCCCCTTGATTTTACGTCAGTAGAAAATAAATGAAATACCTGTGCGATTTTCGCGGGGAATATATTTAAGGTGCCGACGATCCAAAACTTGGATAGAGCTCACGGAGTTACACAGGAAAACGTTTTCAATATTTTCGTATCGCATACGAAAGTGTATTTTGAGCCGACCAGTGTTTTCCACTTTAGAAAGAAATAATCCTTTTTTGTAAAGTAAGTGTGAGGGTGATCTTTAATCAAAATGTCGGCTTTTCTCAATATTCGTGCGTCATTGTCTCAATCACAGTTTACTTTATATGAGCCATAAAAAGTAACTTCGGAATTTTCAATAATTGCAATGTTAAAACACTTTTTGGTGTGAAAGCGGGTTGTTTACCAATACACCTCGTTTTCTATACATACAAGTTACACCTGAAGTATTTCGCAAAATTTTTAATAGTGCCTTGTCGTAGAGACTTCATTCATTTAAAAGACGATACTCGCACTTGAATAAGCTTTTCATAAAATATGTACGTCTAAACCGTGCTAGTAGCATAAAACGTTCCTCTCACGATGTACCATTGAAGTTATTGGAAAAATAGTTTTTCATAAACGTGTCACACTTTTTTATNACGAATAACATGTTCCACCATTATAACATGGTGAGCTACTGCAAGAATCATTACCTATTTGACAGAAGATACAAACAGCTCTTTTTATAAAAGATAATCATAAGAGACAACTCACTTGTGAGCACTGTTTCACACATGCTACCATAAGTTCCATTGCGACATTTACACATTGTCTCATTATAACCATTTATATACACACACGTACCATTATTTTGACAATAATTATAGTGACAAAGTGTTTCGTTTATAGCTTTGAAACAAACATAGCACAAGAGCAATAAAAATATGACATATAACAAGTAGTACTATTCAAATAAGATCGACTATTACACATATCGTGAGATATAGAACGAACCCCCGTATTTCTTTGTCAGAGGAAAATAAATACCTGTTCTATATTGGCGAGGAATGTATTTGTATTACGCATGGCGATTTTGGGGTGTGCGC